CAAAGATCAAGAACAGTTGTATTGCCTTAAATTGACCGAAGCAAAGTCATTGTTTCATGAAGCATACGATTTGTTCTCTCAGATACAAAAAACTGACGATACCGTGACGTCTCAAGAATTTATTGAGAAACTAATTCAAATAATTAAAAATTTGAAAATTAATGTTGTTTTGAAATCATTATTTCTGATCCATAGTCATGAAAAATACTTAAGATTTCTAAACCTCTTCAGCAAACAGTCAAAACCAAACAATGGATTGTTATATTTGGTAAGAGGATTATCTAATTCCACTAAATATCTTGAGGAATCAAATAAGTGGTATAATTTTTTATATAGTTTTTATTCTCATCTGTCAGATTATAGTATTCAAAAGGATATAAGCAGATATAATATTGTCGCAATAGAAGAGAAACTTAATCAACAGAATGAAAGTGTAAAATTCAAAGACATCCAAGCTCTTATCCAGGATATAATTGACAACTGTAATATCAAGTTTGAGCTATTTGGTGTTCGAGATCTCACACTCAACAAATATAAAATAAATGCATTAACAAATTTATTGAAATTTTCATTAGCACATAAAATCAAATCAATTTGTTCTGGCAATACCCTAACTATTCAGGGTCACTACACAAAATTAAGCGATGTTGATAAACTTATCGAAAATTGTGGGTCAAAAATAAAAATTATAGAAATATTTTCTTTGCATAAAATTTTTATTGACGCTAATTTAAATAGAGAAGGAGAAAAATTGGTTTTAATAATCATTTCTCCAACATGGGATATTTTAAGTGATTTTAAGATTATATTGGATGGGGCACCAGGTCAAACTATGTCAACAGTTAATCTTCCTGAAGTGATGAATCGAACTGATGCTGATGGAAATGGTCTAGATGGGCAAGCAGGGAGACCAGGAGGGCAAGCAGGGACATTTTTTGGTATTGGAAAAACATTTTTGAATTTAGATAAACAAGATCTTTTGATCTCAGCAGTAGGAGGAAATGGAGAAAATGGTGGAAATGGCAGTGATGGGAAAAATGGTGATGACGGTATTGGACCAGCTCAATTAACTCCTAAAGGAGGATTTTTTATTGCTAATTGTTTTGAAGAATGGATCAAGAATAAATTTGTTATTAAAAGGGGTCCTTCAAAAACCCCAGTGAGATCGAGTCCTGGTGCGCTTGAGATCTATATAGATGCTGTTTACACCATTTATGGCAGAAATGCAACTCCTGGAGGTAATGGTGGCAATGCTGGAGCTGGAGGAATGGGAGGGAATGGAGGCAGAATTATTATTATAGGACTAAATGGAAATTCTGGTATCAAAACAAAGAATGGAAAAGGAAAAAATGGGAAAAGTGGAAAACCAGGAAAAGGAGGAAAGGGAGGCAATAATAGTGAATTAATTGAAGTTAACTGCAGTTCAGGAAGTAACGGCGACTGCAAAGTAACTGAAACAAGACCATTTGGTGGCGTATCATCTTCTGGAAAACAAGGAAACCCAGCAAAAAACACTAATGAGGCCAATGATTCACTGGAATTAGTCTCATTTCACAAACAATATCCCCTCTCTATAAATAAGTTTAAAAATTATCTAAGATCTAATTTGAAAAATAGTTTAAATGGTACATTTTTAATAGACTTTTTCTATGAATTAGAGAACCACGAACAGATAATAAATTGCTATGATGTTTTAAGCCTAACTGATGAGCTCCAAGGATTGGAATCCCAATATTATATGTTACACGAAGAAATTCCTTTATTGCCCTTTTACCATTCTTTATTAAATAGAATATCAAGTTATGCTAAAAAACTACACTCAGAAGGAAATTTAGTTCAACACAAAAGAGTTTTGTGGTACCTCCATGCTACTATTTTAAGCAAATTATCTAGTATAAATAATAGCTTTGATTCTAAACTAGTAGTAGATATTAAGGCATATTTAGATTCAATAGAAACGAGTATAAGTGAATTAAAAGAATCATACCATCAAGACAAAATTGATGAACTTTTTAACAATTACAAAGAATTACTAAAAAATAAAACAAATGATTTTGATCAATTCATAGCAAATCAGATCAAACCTGATATTGAAGATATTTTTCAACAGATAATGAGCTGCTTAAAAATTATGCTGATAAAAGAAATAGGAGCTCTGGAAACTAAAGTAACTAAGGAAAAAGATCAATTAAGTTACAAACAAAAAGAAATGGAGCAAATATTTGCAAAAAGGAAAGTAATAGATGCTTTACAAATTGCAAGTTATTTTTTATTGTCCCTCAGTGGTGTAGGAATTACAACGATAGCTTTTATAGAACAAGCTGTTTCAATTTCAAAGTTTTTTGTCTTGGAAGACGCTAGCGTTCCTGATGTGAAGATTACAAAAATGCCCGAAGGATTGACAGAAATATCTAATATGATAAGAGAAAGAGATCAACTATTGTTCAAGCAATTAGATCAAGTAAACCAGGAGTTAATTAACTTTCAAAATGAATATTCTTCAAAAACATTAAAAGATGCTCAAACAGATACCAAATACGCATTAGAAACACTTGAAAAAAATATGAAAGACAATGAATATCCAAAAGAAATTGAAACATTCAAGGAAAAAATAAATGAAAAGTTGACATCTGAAATAAAAAGATTGCAAAAAGACAACATTACTTCGACAACTACCAACATAAAAATTAAAGCATTGAAAGGGATTCAAAATATTTTAATAATAGATCCAGATCTCCTTGACTTCTTCAAGGACGATAAAAGTCACATAGAAGTATTAGGAAATGCATTATCTCAAGCTGATATAACTTTAACAGAAATAAGGCTATATCATGAAGCTATTTATAAAATCATCATTCCTAAATTTTTGGATTTAAAGTCTATGTTACAAAGAATGTTAAAAGCAATGAACGAGAGATCACATTTCCCAATCGAAGTTAGTAAATGGAAAATTCAAAGTACCATAAATGATTTTTTCACTTTAATCTACAAAATGACAAAAGGGTTCAGTGTTGAGGAAAAAATTACGAGTTGTATTAAGAAACTGCAAGAGGGAATGATAACTATAAGTGACATTTATAAAACTATAGAATACTACGAAAGTGAGAGTCAATTACATGCTTATCTAAAATTAATTAGTTCGAAAAAATCACTTCAAATGGAAAGAAATGAAGGTGAACTAAACAATGCTATAGACAGACTAGATACTATGGTACAATCCAATCTTGTACTATCTCAATACCAGAAAGCCATAAGTATGTTTAAACAGTACATCTTCCCATTTGCACATTTTTATCTTTCAGAATTTAGTTTACCGACAGAACTACAACCAGAACGCAACATAGACAGTTTAGTATTAATTGCAGTGAAAAATTTAGTGAACTTGAAAACTAGAATTACTGAATCAAATCTATCGATAGGTTGTTTTGACAAACATATAAACTCACATATACCATTCAGCAGTGAAAATAATAAATCTCCGTTTATCATATGGTCCTACGACAAACATAAAGATGCAATATCAAAATTATTAAAAGGGAAGGAAATATTTTTAGAAGCTGATATAACGAAAATTCGAAATATAAATGCTGTAAAATTTAATGTTATTGGACTTAAATTCAAGGCATCAGATAAAAATATACAAGACAACTTAGATAAAAAACTAAACAATTTTGATATAAACCTAACACACCTGGGAAGTTCTAATTATAGATGCGGTGATAGGATTTATATAATAAAACATGATAAGGTTCCCTTCAAGTTTTCTTTGGAAATGAGTGATGGAGTACCAATCACAAGGAACAATGTGTATGACAAAATCAAAAACAAAGATTTCATGCTGAGCCCATATACTATGTGGAGCATCTTGCTGAACAATGTTAGTAGTTCGTTTGATGAGCTAAAGGAGTTCAGAGGACAAGAAATAAGCTTAGAATTGGAAGGAACTGGTCAATATATAGATGAAGAAATAAATAAAGATGTTTGTGTAGATAAAATGAAGAATTATTACAAAATAAATGAAATTTTGTCTGACATCGAAAGTGTCGAAGAAACATATTTAAATGATACATTAAAGGACCAAGATAATCCACTGATTAACCATTTAAATAACCTTGATTACAAAAGAGAACGACGTCATCTGAAAAATACCTATTTGACAACAGAAAAAAGTGCAGAACTGTTCACGAGCAATGGAGGTACCAGTATTTTTAGAGAATCATTTGTTAACAATATATTTAATTTTGCTATTAGAGGTTTTGAATCATTTTCATATTTAAATCCATTTATTTATATAAATTCATGGTTTAAATTATCCACCTTATATATGTACAATCCATTATGGGAATTAGCATCAAAAACTACAGGAGAAACAAGTGTGATGAGAGATGAAACTATGATGAGCTTTCATAGTAATTTATTGTTATGGAATTTCTTCTTAAAGAAGTATGTAGGAATAAAACGTAATAGAAAAAGTTCTAATTTAAATCTCAAATTAAGAAGTAATGAGAGATTGAAAGATTTTGCTTCATCCTTAGCTTACAATTACTATTTTAACAAATATAATAAAAGTAGAAAATGTTATAATTTGAAAATTACTTAATTAAATTTTTTTTCTTTTAAAAATCCGAATAGGATTCATGGCGGATATCATTTAAATCCATCAGCACACAGGAATCCAACCTACAGTATTATATTTTATACTTAAAAAAATATTTGTAAAAATTTGTATTTGTATTTAGAATGTGAAATAAAATATTTTCATAAAATAATAGCTATCATTAAACACCTAAATATTAGACACCCATCATTTTAAAGAAAATAATATTGAACAATTATTTATGATTTATGGAATGAATCAACATTTCTTTTAATTCCAAATCCATAAGAGTTATTATACTGTCCAGTCTATACAAATGAAACCACCATAATTTTGTTTAAATGTGCCAGGAAGATATTGAAAAGAAATGCCTATTTATTAGTTATTTATTTTTCTAATGCGACATAATTACTTTATAAAATTAGAAATATAAATGCTTTAATTTTCCAAACATAAGTATGTACTCTATTGTAGCACAATTTTACAAAAGCTTGGATAAATTAGCTTTTTTTTTTAATCATCAATTCATTCCTGTTTAGCTTTTAAAATTAATTATTATATTACCTTAAGCCATCTATCAATTTAATGGTAGATGCAAGATTAAGTCACTAGATAAAATAAATTACAAGGAACAGATTCGGGTAAAGTCACATTGGTATTCTGCAGATGCTGGCATGATTTTACGAACAGTCAGAAATGGGCAGAGCTCTTCCTTCGGACATCCGCTCAGGATAACTGGCCGTTCCTGGTGTAGACTCAATAACTTTTCACCATCTTCACAACTAAAAATAATTGCAACATGCAACTAAAAATTATGATCAATGTGGAAATATGGCAACTTAAATTTTTATTACTCTGGCAATGTTTTGGTTTATAATGCCATTTTGTGAGTCATCTGTAAAGACTTATTTAACCATTAATATTTTACAAAATCAACAATTAGCTTAATACAATATTGATGTTAATCATCATTTCAGTTTAACAATGAATAAATCTTATCCCATATGAAATTGAGTTAATTTTTTTTTTTGTTCGCATTACAAACTATGTAGATCTTTTGCCGCCTTAACAAGCCTGCTCCATCTCTGCCTGTCTTGGGCTATTTCTTTCCATTTATCTGCACGAAGCTCTGTTGCATTTTTGTTGATTCTATCTATCCATCTGCTTTTTGGCCACGTGGTCTTTTGCTTTCTATTGAGGCATTCATTGTTACATAGAGACTTTCAGACAAATTGCTACGAGCTACATGCCCCACCTATCTTAACCTCTGTACCTTCATATCATGGGATATTGATTGACTAGTTTCTGTGAGCAGTTCTTTATTGGTCTTTCTTCTCCATGTGTTAGTACTTGATTGAGTTAATTATGTAATATAATATCATTATTTAACTTTTAAAAACATTTAAACATGTAATTTAATTTATGGACTCGATCCCATAAAGGATAAGATTTATTCATCGCTAAATTGAAATGAAGATTAATCTCACTGTTGTATTAAGTTAAATGTTGATTTTGTAAAATAATAATGGTTAAATGAGTAAATACAAATGCCTTGAAAATTGTGTCATAAGACGAAATGTTGACAGAGTAACAATAATTAATAAAAAAATGAAATACATACAGCCTAAATATTTTTATTACTAATTAGAATTTCACCTTAAAAAAAGATATATAGAAATGACAACTTAAATATAATAAATTACCTGAAAAGAACAAATATCAAGTTGTTCCCAAATGAATTCATTTTTGAAACATTCCAGTTCCTCTTTTGTCTTAGTTTCAAATCTATGTCATGAGTAAGCTTGAAATCATCCTTGTAAAGACCAATATGAGAGAGAGTTTTGAGCAATGTTCCGGAATGAGTGAAATAAAAAATGGCCTTTGGACCAGCCTTATCCCTGAGTCACAAACAAAATCTCATGAATAATCAGATAAAAATATGTTCCTCATCATAAATTTATCATGAGCTTACATAAAGAAGTCCGTAACTTTCCGCAGCAATGGGCAGGCTTGTTCATGGTTAATATCATAGCCGTAGCCATCTCTCCAAAAATATTTTAGTTCCTCAAAATATTCCATTACCTTAAAAATAATCAGGTTATTGGATTTATATTTAGATTTAATACTGTGAATGTAGAGCATTTAAACCAAATAAGATAAACCAGAGATCACAAAATGATGTCAAATAGAACAAACCTCTATATCTTTTTTTTCAAAAGGACTGCACCATTGTGAGAAACTCTGAGGGAACCAAGCAGTTTCAAAAGCACAAGCAGTGAAAATGAGATGTAAAGTATCTAGATAACACAGGATGATAATTAATAACAAATTTTGCAGGTAAGTATATAAAAAATACATTGAAGTAAATATATAAATGATGGGAGTATATCCTACTGATTAACAGTTAATAATAATTTATTATTATGTATTTGATTTTATTCCTGAATATCAAAGCTAAAACTAATTCGAGTAGTCTAGTTTTACTAATGGCTTGATTGTTAGATTTTATGTTATGAAATAAGAAAAATAAAACAACAATAAGCTGGTGGTCTATAAGTTTGGCATTAACTGCAAGAGGAAGTATATAAGTTTAAAACACTTTGGTACAATATAGGAATTTTCAATGCATTAAAAAAATATAATTTAAAGATATGTTATAATAATATTTGATTTGTAATTTATAACTAAAATGATTTCATTTGTTTGAGAAAAAAGATCTTCTTTTACTTTTAATAATTCTTCATATACTTATATCAGATACAAGAGTATACATCAACGTTTCCGGGTTTTACCAATCTTCAGAATATTTTTTTATATATTATTTATCACAGTCCTTATCTAGAGTTTTTTTTTTTGAGATTGAAGTATGCTTTAAATTATAAGATAAAGGTCATTAAATATGTATTGGGCAATAACTTCCTAAGTTTACACAATTGGGTTAGGCAATATTAATACAGGCAATATAAATTAATATATATAGGCAATATTAATGTTAATGCAGTGTTGCTAATTCTTTTTTTTTTGCCAAATATTTATTGGATTTATTAAATATAATTGTTACAGATTAAAAATTACATGCACATTCTTTTATGTAAAACAATATAAACATATGAAAAAAAATTGTTTGGTGGAATTATCATAAATTTGAACTAAAAGAATGTGGAGGATAGAAAAGTTTACATTTATTTAGTCTTAAATAATACATAGAAATACATTATGAAATAGGGAAAACTGCAAAACATTGATCTATATATTTTATAGACATAGATAAAGAATTAATAAAAGGAAAGAAATATTTTTCAGAAACAAATGAATATACAACTATTATTCTTCCTTAAGCAACTAGATATTTAAAATGTTTTCTCCTTCTATGATAAAATAGTGACCTAAATAGAAAATATAAATTGATGTAACACAATGTACTATTAATAAATGGATTTGAGCAGTTCATTTACATGGATTAACCCTAAAAAAATCATTCATTCCATAGGTGAAGAGAATAAAACCTAATCCTCACTAATACTTGTCTATTTTCAAGTATTTACAGTAAGTTTAGTGAGTGAGTGAAGTTTTAAAAGAGTTTTAACAAGTTTATTGAGTATTATTCTTTATATTTTTTGAGTAGTGTACTCGGGCTAAAATGTTGAAATAAAAATTCTTATTAAAAAGATGTTTTATATATAAAATAAAGATGTGTGGGATTAAAAGAGACGTTGTTGTATAAATTTAATCATATATTGATTATATATAATAATCATATAAAAATCTCACAAAAAAAAAATGAATATTTTATAAATATAATAATATAATAAATAATTAATATATTATAAATAATTTATAATATAATAATATATCATAAATATTTTTATTCAGATATGACAGAATGAGAGAGAAAATGAAAAGGTATTTCCAGGGTGGAAGTTTAGAAGCTGGAAATAATATTCCAAACTAAAAAGTATAGGATATTCAACGCTATGAGCAAGTCATGATTTAGTCTCCATTCTTGTGATGAAGCTCCATCTACTCCACTTTTCTTTAATGTATATTGGGACTTTTTATATTTTTACTGTAATAATCTAATCGTTATCGAATACCCTAAAAGGTGATATCCAACATTAAACAAGAAAATTAAATGTTTTTGATTTCTCAAAAATGGTCATTAATGACTTGATTTTTGGATATCTTATAACTGCATAAAATCATAATTTTTTTTGGGCAAACTAAAACTGTTCATCTGCCTGTGAAAATTTACACATTAATGAAAGATTGTAAGTACCAAATGATAAAGTATAGTTTAAGCCAATTCGACTAGAAACCTGCATTAGCATGTTATGAACTTCAGGAGATGTTCTATATTTGTTTAGTTCATACTTTGTTTTAGGATTCTTCTTTACTTCCTTTTTCCATTTGTCACATAGTTTGTAAAACTGAAACATATTATCATGATTAATTTAAATTGATGACAAATTAAATGCAATAGAATATATAAAACACAATAATCATAATAACCCGAAGAATTGGATCATGCAGAGGAGGCTTTGGAAACCAAACAGAATCACTACCTTCTTCACCGAACAGGCCAATAGTAAAGCGTCTTGCACTTTCTTTTGTTCTCTGGGTATCTGTATATTTAAACTGAAATAAATTAGAATGCAATTAAAAATATATATATATATGTATACTAACATGTATTTTCTAAAGCAAGTCTTAAACCCAGAGATGGTCAACCTTCAATATGTTTCTGGCCTGCGAGATTAATTACACTTTTACAGAGCAGATTTACTTTATAATGGCCAAAGTAGTGAAAACCAATGTAACAGAAAAAAAAATTGTGCATCCATATATTATGAGAAAAAATAAAATAAAATTTTTAAAATAATATTCTTACGAATATAAGAAAGGTATTGCCTGTTTTATTCATGAGTTTACAGTCATGATTTCACAGAATAAAGTTTTAAGCGCTTTTGGTTCAACTTGCACCTGCAAATCGTATTTTTTGAAAATGACTTGGGCCAAACACAAAACACGCTCAAACATAACAGATGAAAACTTGCAACACCAATTACAATATGCAAATATCCATATTGAGATTGATTTTCAAAAGCTAAGTGAAAGAGTGAGAAGCAAATATGGTACTAGTAAAATAATTATTCTTTAATGATTTCATTTTTATTGTTATATATTTCTTTAATACGTGCGTTTAGTATAATCATAATTATATTATTTATGCCTACATGTAAGAATAATAGAAAACCTTCCAAAAAAATGTTTATATTGAGTCTTAATCTAATACAGTAATAAATAATTTTATATGTGGTCAGTGAAGTATGCATTTCCAAAGTAGCCCAGATCATTTGGGTTGGCCACCTCTGTCTTAACCTAATAAATTTACATTGCAACATTTACAATTATTCAACAAAATTTACATAATAAGAATTATTAGAAAACATTGTTGGTAACAGAGATGGAAAACGATTTTGGAAACGCTGAGCCAGTAACATCATTTCATTCTCTCCCTCAGTCGTCAGAAATTTTTCTGAATCTGAACTTAACAAGGATGACCACTCTTTCTTTGCTTGTGATTTCCATAATAATCCTGAAAAATTATAAAACTTATTACTCTTCACTATTTCCTTCAATAATGTTTAATTTTAATTAATTAGAAATATGATTTAATTATATAAACTTTATGGGGCAAAATAAATATTATTTATAGTATAATAGGAACTTTAGTCCTTTAACAAAGTTAGACTCACATATGAGTCAAGAGTAAACTGGGCCCAGGCGATGATGGACTCATATATGAATCGAGATGGGACCACGCCCTGGTGACGATGGACTCACATACGAGTTGGGAGCCTGTTGAGCTCTTTCTCGTTAAAACAATGGGGAGCCCAGTGATGAATTCTATTTTTAAACTATCTTCTAATCTTTCTATGTGGCAATAGATAATTTTCCTATAGCTGCAGATTATGGGAATTTTGGAATGATGCCCTGCATAAAAATGCTGAAGTGGTGAATAGAAGTGATGGAAAGTATTCTGTTATAGAAGAATGGAGAAATATCAGCTAGTACCATCCCCAAGGCTGCTCCACCTTTGCCGCTCATTGTCGCCAAAAGTTTATAATTTTACATATTAAAAAGAAAATGGAATAAAAATAAATTTTTTTAAATATTTGATCCATCCATTTGTTACCATGAGTGCAATTGAGAACTTATTCTAACTCCATGACCGCAAGTGCAATGGTGTACTCTTTCCACCTCAACTTACTGATTTGGAGTGCATTCCTTACTATTTAGTTTCTCTGTCCTCTCTAACCATTCAGAGATACCTTCTTGGTCATTCCAGCATTTTTAGGTTTTGATAACTAAGAGTTGGTTACACCTTTCACCTTCTTGAAATGTGAACAAAAAATCCAACCAATACAACATTTGAGGGCTTAGTACGTTTTCTGTAATGCTTAAAGTCCAAAAGTTATGCATGAAGAAGATTTGGCCAGCATCGTGCTCATTCCCCAAGTTTTTCTCCTTAATTAGGAGTACTCACTTTATAGGCTGGATATGCCTTAGCAAGGTGTCCAAGACTAATTTAAAAGAATACATAAATCGACCAGAGTCATACCTGGACCCAGTAAAATAGGAACACAGTGCTTTCCTGAATGAGATACCTCACCTCTAAAAAAATAAAATAGTTTATGTTGAAATGGAAACAATCAGTCAAACGTTTTTCATTTATACCAAAGTCTGGGAAAAAATAAAAAAATTCTGGAGCTGATGGAGGTGGAAAGAAATATTATAGCAAATATTGAAAAGCAAAAGATTATACTGGTTTGGATACATTAAAAAATTGATGCATCAAAGATTATCACAGTTATGTATGGAACTGGAAGTAGGAAAAAAGGAAGACCAAAGATAAAATGGAAAGACGCGATGGAAGAAAGCCTGTTGGTGTATGCCATTAGAGAAGAAGACTTAAGTAGAGGAGGATGGAAGAATATCTTAAATGATATTTAGGTCAAGGATAACCACAATAGTAGAAAAGTTCTAAATAAAAAATAAAAAAAAATCTCAGATATTTATAATGAAAAGTATCAATACATTTTGAAATAGAGTTGAATATGGTATTAGTTCCAAACGGATTAGGCATGGTTGAAAATCACTGAAGATCAAATTTGTTCATGGAATATAGAAAGTATCCAGGTTTATCCGAAAGAGTAAAATGGCAACCGATGTCTTGAATTAATCACAAATAACTTTTCCACTATTAAAGTAAACGGATGGTTGAGACAAGAGCTGACATCATAACATTTGGCAACATTTAACTGTTTTAGGTATTCTATGAACAAGTGTGATCGAAGTGCTTGTGAACCATTCCTAATCAGCGTGCTACTCTCGTGAACTAGTACTGTTATTTGTAACTGATTCAAGAGATCATTCGCCTTTATACCCTTCCAGATAAAACCAGATACTTTTGGCATTTCATGAGCTTGATCAAAGTAATTTTGAATCATGCCCAATCCATGCAAACTAATACCCAATAAAAAAAAAAAAACAATAGACCAAAATAACTGAGACTTAACAAAAGAAATGTCATTCGATGTTGAAATTAAAACAGTAATTGAATAAACAATATTAATTAAATTAAATCAATGTTTGATCAATCTAAACATCATAAAATCAAAATCCAACGGCGGTACCACACATAGAAGTAAGGACATAACTTTGAGCACTCTTAATTGGAAGATGTCTAAAATAATAATGTAAGTGTTTTGAGAACATTAATAATTAAATAATTATTTAAAATCAATAAAAATTTTACCTTTCAAAAATGAAATAGTATCTTTGGTATCAATGCTCAACTTAACAGTGGAAATAATTTGTTTAACTTTATTAATAACTTTGTTCCCAGGTGTACGAGTTCCATGCCGAATGATTCCGAAAATCTTCACTGGATAACAGCCTGATACAAAAAATAAAATAAAAAGTAAACAGAATATTTTTACGAAACACACCAAATTAAATGGATATCATAAGACTCCTTAAGATTTAAACAAATACATCAAAAGACAAAGAATTTAATTTAAATACATCCATATAAGTATGTATGATAGTATTTTATGGCAAAAAAAAGAACAAAAAAAGAGATGGATACTTGATGCTAACTCTCTAACATTGATATAAATACTGTAACACAATATTTAGAGAGAACATTATAATAGCTGCAGATAAATCAATTTTTGATTAACTCAAGAATTAAACATATCTCTACTGGTCCTTGAAAAATGAGATCCGATGCTTTATGCAGTGCTTGTTAATGAAGACCAAACAAATGTGACAAAGTGTCAGTTTTTTACTTCTATTCATGGCTGGCAGCAGCCATGGAAAGATAGATTGAAATTCTACAGCAGTGGAATTTCAAAGAAAATACTATTACATGATCAATAATCAGATGTAGAGATGGTATATAGTTAACAGAAACATTGAAATTATGCTTCACCTGGATATTCCACTGTGCTGTCATTAGTGTAAGCAACAATCCTGTAAGGTGTTTTTGTTCCGAGGTGAAAAACTACTTCTGGTTGAACTTCTGAGGTTTGTTTAAATGTGTTAACAATATTAACAAATAACAATGCTACTGTCAGATAGAAATAATCTGAATAAACTGAAAGCTTGAGACTATTTGCCATGCTTTCATATTTACTAAAATTGATCACTAGAGAAAATTATTCAGTTGTAACTGAAACCAAAAATACATAAATTACATTGAACTACAATGGAATGAAAACAAGTAGTTTTTGAAAACATTTATTTTTCTAATTACAAAAACAATTAGTCGAGGTACAAAGAAGAAACGCACATCTTTATTTCTTAATGATTTAAGATAAAATTAATTATTCTTAACAAAATAAGACTATATGTAAAAATAGAATCTTGGATCGGAGGTCAACTTCAAACGATAAGAAGCATAACCTCCTTTATCAGAGGTGGAACCTTCCAAGTTTTTCAATTTTAGCAAAGGTGAGTTCCTAATCTCAGTGCTGAGATCATTGATGCTCTTATCAGTACATCAATGGATTAACGCTGGGTTTAGGAACTTGCTCTAACAATTATTGTAACTGTCTCGTACATTTACGTATAATCATATCCCCATCCTAAATCGGTACGGAGATCATCGAAACCTTAACCCATTTATTAATTTATTTAGGCTGTTAATTTATCTTTTTATAGGTATATCTTTTATAGTGAGCGCCACACTCTGGCAAACTTTCAATTTAGGCAAGAATTTATTTGGAAAACGGAATTTATTATAGCATGTCGGGCATTCTGAATTAATATAGAATAACACTATTTGGGTAAGACTAACTGTTATTACTATTTTTAATTTTTTTCAGGAATAAATAAAATATATTTTGCATGCAATATATTGTAAAAATAAGAAGTTATTGTAATAGGTTATTGGCAGAACAATTATAAATATCTTACTTATATTAATATCAAAAGGACATAGTGATAAGAGAAGAAGAGCAAATCAACCTACAACTAAATGAAGATCAAACTAAATACATGGGGTAAAAACAATACCCCAGTATCAATTATTTATCAATTACAATATAAACAATAACAAAATTGTTTGAATATCTCTTCAGTCTTTTCCTTCGCATTTTCTTTCAGTTTTTTTATTTCTATACTTTCCTTCCAGTTTTCCAGTTCCAGTATACATTTATTTAGATACAGATAGGAAGTTTTTCTTGTTCGTTTTAGGTTTAGCTTTCTTGACGGAATTTGCCGTATAATTAACAAAACCTCATGTTACCGCAGCTGATTTTAGTATTCATCATTAGTAGAGGGTTCAAAGAACATTTTGATTACAGTAAGATCTTGGCGGTCATTGGCGCGATATACTTTCGAAATTCTAATTACGAAAAACGAAATAACATATGGTATGAAAAGTAGAAAATTTTTAATTTATAAAGAAATAAATTATTTAAGAATTTATTTGACTCATTTCAACAAATTAAACAACGAAAAAATATTGTGAGCATTCAGCAAAAACCCCTGAAATATATTTAATGATTTATAACAAATTACATTATTAATGTGGTAGAAACTGACTTTTTGTTTATATTTCACTGAAAATCTTGGAAACTAATATTTTCATTTGTTCCTGAACTTGAGAAATATATGAGTTAACTATGCCAGACACTAAAAACATAGAAATTTGCATTATCATAACACCTTGAAAATAAGGGGTTTTGCCACTTTCAGACTATTGTGCGCCGTCCAGAGCAGATAATTATAAATCCTGAAAAATAAAGAGGGATAAAGATAGATTAAGTGTTCATTAAGTTCATTCTTACATTGCTATACGGCAAAATAAGAAGAGATTAAATTTAAAAAAACATTAAAGATTGGGGAAATCTCGTCTCGGGCGCCCATATCACACGCAACGGCATTGTTTCAATGTATCATATCAGCTGATTTTGCGTTTTATTATTATAAGGCCATTTTTATTATAATAAGGACTTGTTCAAGGCTGCCTATAATTTTGCGAGGTTTCAATTTAGAAAACTTTCTAACCAAGGAACAAATGAATAGCGCAACTGAAATTTGTATAAGTTTACTTCAGTTTGCACCATTTTTAAAAAAGAGGAGTGTAATCAATTATCTTGGAAACGGGCATGTACTACTGCCTTTGTAAAGGATAGGCACACCTGAACTTGTGTTATTGCACAGATCATTAAAGAAAAATTTCCTGTCTTTTTTGTTGGAAGGCGAGTTCAAACTTTGGTTATCAAATTAAGTTTATTATTTGTGTGTTTTATTTTAACCAATTTCTTCTTGAAGACTTGTTTTCCTTATCGAGCTTTGCCTTCCATTGGCCAGATTTCAGCTTACGTCATAGCTGTTTAGCTTACATGATCTCATTCGAAGGCACTTTTAGTCAAGATGAAACTTCTATTGGCAACTATTCTCCTTGTTTGCTTAACATATGGTGAGATTATTATGATTTTATTAAGACAATTTAATTGAAATATACCATTAATTAGTTAAAAAATCATAGACGCTACGATGAATTAATAATTTAGAATTATATAAGACAATGGAATAGCAAAATTAATATGTATATTACCAACAATGCTTGTGGGTTGAGCAAACTAAGAACAAAGCGAGAATAGAAGTACATACAAAATTAACTTGAAATTATTAGCCTTGCTTTGTGTAATGAAAGTCATTAAACGGTAGCGATTTTTTACACAAAAGAAAATAACAACATTTTACATTCATTGTTTGTTTTACTTTAAATTCTCACGTCCGACTAACGGATTGCTATTGTCAATTATTATGACAGTTTTTTCTGACATAACATGTATATTTCTTTCTTAATTGTTTGTTCCCCCTAATCACGATGTTGATCATAACTTATACATAAATGATATGGTCTAATTTGATCATTAATATTTAGTTTTAACTCAGAGATGCCCAGAAGAGGAGTTACAAGGTACGCTATCTCAATTTTTGAGGGGAGCACATTTTCACGAATATAATAATTTTTGAGTGTGCCATATATTTATGGGGTTAAGAATTTCAAGAAGGAACTATATTTCTAATGAGTTTTAATTGAGGATAACTTTCTAACCAAGGAACAAGGGAAAAAGTATATTATAATCTACATAACTTCACTTTTATTTTTAAGAAATAAGAGGAGGGCAACAAATTTTCTTGGGAGATGGAAATCGCCATGGTCGTTGGGAGGGGTACTTATAATCATATTATCATTATTGTTCTGCTGTATATCCCCTGAACATTGAGAAATATATTTTTGTAAAAAAAAATTCAAATATCTTAATATTAATTACTAATAAAATTGTATTCATTAAGTAGAGAAAATAAAAGAAATGAAAAAAAAAACCTTGTGTGAAATCGACCTCGGCAGATATCAATTAAAATAATCAAGTATTTATGTCTAAGACCATAGAAGAGGTAAGATTTCTTCTCAATTCAGCAGTAACTCTGATAGTTCTCCACAAAAATATTCTTATTTCTTAATATTATTGAAAAACTTAATCAACATTAAAATTATGGGCGATATCAGAATTATTATATTAAATATGTAAATATATGTTTGACGAATTAAACATTAAGCGACATCTATATTGTCAAAACTAAAATTATTCATAAGACGAAATTTCTGAATTTATGAACAAGATTTTCCGTTGAATCTTTACTTGATACTTAAGATAAAGATGTAACGTTTTTTATTAATATGTATTATTGAATAATATGCGTGCGCCCAAAATTGGACAGAAAAGCTGAAAACATAACTTTATAATAAAATTGTACTTAAGTTTTGTAGTGTGGCTGTCCTATTACTCCTCCATAATTGAATGAAAAAAAAAAAATGAATGAGAGAAGACAGGCAATAATTGGAGATTACTTTGCATGTATTAAAAACCGGTTTGATCAAAACCCGTTAGCTAGCATTTTCCATCATCTAGTGCAGGAATCATCAACGTTTTTTTTACTTGAGGGCACATTTATAGGTTAATAATCATTGGCGTGCATACGAATTTTTAATTTATTATTTTTTAAGAAATATAGAAATCAATTTCGATTGATTCAGTTGAAGATCAACACAAAGGAGATCGGCTTTGTAAAAGAACGTTTGGTAAATATTAAGAACGCTAGATTTCTGCATCAAATCAACAGATTTTAATGATTCCTTTTTTTTTTTTTTTTTTTTAATGAAATTTTGTAACCAATGAAACCACTATTATAAAAAAAAAGTGTCATTATCCTGAAATCTAATTTTTGTTTGCCTCGTAACTTTTTTCTGGTTTCTTGTTGGGGAAGTATGTTACTATAGATAAATTTGAAGGGCTTCGAGGAGAATACTTTAGTCAAGTTTCGTTAAAATCGTTAGATCCGTTTAGGCGCTACAGTCTATAGAGACTCAGATTTTTTGGCCGCCATGTAGGATGAAAAGGGCGGATGACATTGTAGAGATAATTTAAAAAATATTTTTTAAGACATGGTTATATTTTACCAATTTTGGGAGCGTCTGGGGCAGTCTGAAAGACCTCCACCCTCCTCCATAGACCTGCCTGTGGCAATGTTCAAAACCAACCATTGGAACATTTAATTCCTAGCATCTGATTAATCATAGGTTGATAATGTACGAAGCATAGGTGTAAAAATTTTATATTTTATCTCAATAAATATTTATAAAATCTACAATTTGTCTGTGAACTGCAATTATTTGATTGGAGAAAAAATTATTGTTTCAATTTTTTAAATCCTACACTTTTACTAGATTCAACTGTTTAGAAAATATACATGCCTTTATGATAACTAAATTAATAATTACAGTATAAACATATGATTACATGATGAATGCAGTTTTCTCAGCCTGAAGCCTGAATATAGGGCTGTTCATATATTTCGTATGCTACTTATTATTTTTTATAACTCTTTTATTTTTTCAGAAGTGTTTGCTTCGCCTCCTGCAGGAGATGAAGGTAAACTAGTTAAAAAAATACAAAATTATATTAAATCTCCTTTGGCGGGAAAACTAATGTTTTTAAACATTTATTTATACAGATGAACACATGATTCCTGGATCCAGTCACATGAATTGTCCTAGTAAAGAAGGTATAGACTTGTATGAAAAATAGTTATGATAAAGTTATTACATATTAATATATGAATCGTGCATTTCTAAAACGTTGTAAGTGCCAAAAGTGAAATTTTACAGTAAGAAGGAAAAATATATTTTTCTAAGAAAAAATTACAAAAAAAAAAAAGATAGGTTCACCACTATATCCAGACAAACTGTATTGCCATAGTAAGATTTACAACGCGTTTTAGTTTGAAAAGTAATATTTTCAAATTTTGTCATTTACAACGTTTTGGAAATGCCCGATTGATATAATAAATAAATCAGGTTTTCATCGAGGCTACTATATATATA